GCTGTGGCCCCGGCCGGACGCGGGCTTCCTGACCCAGGAGAGGGGCCCGTGCTCGTGACCGCCACCCTCTCCTCTTCCCCGTCGGGCGGACGCCGGGCCGGGCTTCCGGTCTGGGGCTCTGGGGCTGGGGGACTGCGGGCCGCGTTCCCGGACGTGCGCATTTCCGCGCCCTTCTTGGCCGGGAGCCCCACGTCCCGGTAGCGAACGGAGCCCAGAAGGCGGAGCCTTCTTGCGGGGCCACTCGGTTGAGACCTGCACGCCGACGCCACACAGCATTGGCTTTTTCTACCTATGGGTCCCAAGCTTGTGACCTGCGCGGGTCCCCCGTCCGCGCACAGGCACAGGGCCGCGGCCACGCGCGGAGGGGGAACTAGCCCACCCAGAAGCAAGGCTCCGGCTGGACCTCGGGCAGCGGTGCTCTTGGAACCACGTTCTTCCCCGCACCGCTGCAGGCTTGTCGAGCGCGTTCTGCTCAGCGGGGAGCGGGTGCCGGTGCGCAGCGTCCCCAGCGTCCCTCCAACACCGCGGATCCATCATCGCGTACCTACCCCCCCTTCGCCGGCGCCCCGGGATCCTCTCCTTTGGGCTCACTTCATCGCACCTTCCCACCCGACCCTCCGGGGTCTAGACCCCCTGCCGCGGCCGTGCGCCCCCTAGCGGGGGGACCGCGCCGCCCGAGGGGGCAGCGGGATGTCGGGGATGGAACCGCGGGCGGCCCTCGGGGCTGCCAGGGTCTAGAGTGCCGAGGCCACACGTGCTCTGTCTCTCTGCATCCCCCCAGCAGAGATGTCCCCTCGCCGCAGTCTGCTTCCCCCTCCGCCTCCCCCTGCCCCTCCTCAGGGCACCGGATGTTCCCTCTCAACTGGAGCCTTCTCTTCAGCGAACAGGCTGTGATTTATTTTCTATCCAAACGAAACAAACCTCGCGAGTCGCGAGCCCCCACCCCACCTCCGCCGCACCTCTTCTTTCTCTCGAGCCCACTCCTGCTCTGTCTGAATCCTCGCTGCCTTGACCCACCTGCGGAATCTGGGGACGGTCCTCAGTCCCCCCCCCCCCCCCCCACGTGACCATCAGCAGCCCCCGCAGTCCCCTTCCCCTCGGCGCTCCACCTCCGCCTGCACCCTCAGGGCGCGGCTGGGCAGACCTTTGCCCCCCACTTCATGTCCCTCCTGAGGGTCCCGTCCTCTGTGACTGCTTCCGATTGCGGCTGTGAAGACCAGCCATGCAGCCTCAGATCCCACGTCCAGCCGCCTCCTGAACGCCACCACGTGGACAGCTGACTTCTCGATGTCAGCAGGTCCTAAACTGACCTCCTGATTTCACCCCTCCGTGTGCTGCCCCACCCCCACCCCAAGATAAAATGCTCCGGCCTTCCCTGTCTCAGGTCCGGGCAGACCGTCCCTGCAGATGCTCGGACCAAACCTGCAGCAATCCTTCTAGAAGTTCTGTCTGCCCCATTCTCAGAGCACCCAGACTCCCTCTCCCCATCCCATGGCCGCTGGCCCTGCCCCTGGCCGCCGCCCCTCCGGACTCGACTCACCGCGCTGTCTTCCTGTTGCGCCCCCTTGTGGTCCAGTCTCCCTAACAGCCAGAAGGAATTTTTCTTATACCTTCTTTATTTTTTTTAAGTTTATTTATTTTAAGAGAGAGAGAGAGCTCGCCCGCGAGTGGGGGAGGGGCGGAGAGGGAGGGAGAGCGAATCCCAAGCAGGCTCCGGGCTGTCAGTGAGGAGCCGGACACCAGGGCTGCGTCTCACCAACCACGAGATCATGACCTGAGCCACCCAGGCCACCCCTATACCTTCCTTTTAACATTGCAGTAACGCGTACATACATGCAGTAACATAAAATATACCATTTTAACCATTTTTAAGTGTCCAGTTCAATGGCATTAAGTACGTTCACACTGTTGTGCAGCCGTCCCCGCCCTCCATCTCCAGGACGTCCCCATCTTCCCAAACTGACACCGTCCCCATTAAACACTAACTCCCAACCCCCAGCACCCACCATCCTACTTGTCGCTGTGACTCTGACTGCTCTAGGGGCCTCAAAGAAGTGGACTCATACAGTGTTTGTCCCTTTGTGACTGGCTTATTTCACTGAGCATAGTGTCCTCAAGGTTCATCCGTGTGGTGGCAGGTGGCAGGAGGTCCTTCCCTTTAAGGTGAGTAATACTCCGCTGTATGGATAGGCCACCTTCCGCTTCTCCATTTATCTGTAGGGGCACCTGGGCTGTTCTGTTGTAAATACCACTGCTGTGACAGAAGGACCGTTTTAAATGTTTTTAAGTTTTATTTGTTTACTTTTGAGAGAGACAGAGATAGCTTGAGCAGGGGAGGGGCGGAAGAGAGAGAATCCCAAGCAAGCTCTGTGCTCCAATTCACGAAACCTGTGAGATCCTGATCGGAGCCAAAACCAAGAGTCAGACCCTTAACCAACTGAGCCACCCTGGCGCCCCCTAGAAGGGCCGTTTTAAATCATCATCAGACACTGTCCCCTGTCCGCTCACAGCCCTCCCAGAGCCCATCTTACCCCAGGGA